TTCAGGAGGTCTCTGTTTCATGTGCCAAAGAATAAGGTTTTTTTTTTAAAATCTTAAACTGTCTTCTTTCAGTGATTAGCAATTCCACCTAAATAACATCTTCAGTGTTGTTTTCAGCTTCGTTAGTTTTCATCTTCTTTTGGCCTTTAAAAGTATTTTTAGTGTCTTCAAAAGTTACTTTGAATAGAGGACTCATAGTTTTCTTAACACCACTTTGCTAATATGTGCATTTTATAGCCTCATGGGTTGACTACAACAGATTCAAGCTATAAATGGCTTTCAAATAGGTTTTAGCACACAAATATACATTAATGTATAAATAATAAATAGAATTTTTTCCATCAATGCTCTTGATTTGTGCTGTGGATATATTCTTTAAGAGCAGTATGTAAACTATAATTCAAATTGAATGTTCCTATTAAACAATGGTTCTAGTAAGGGATTAGGAGATTTTCATATCACCTGGGATACTCTTAAACTGCCGACTTTAATGACAGTTTCAATTAGTTGAAAAGGGGCTCAGAGAACTCCTGGTAAGCATGCCCCTTCCTCTTGTCAACTTCCCGCCTCACAAAACAAATGGCCAGAGACTTGCTGCACAGGAGGTGATGAGGATGTTTATCTGTATACTCCCCATGAGGATCAATCTTCTCATGCCTATGTTCTTGTTGATGTCAGTCTTCACATTCTCTAACTGAAGTCTGGCCGTCTTCAGAGGACAAAGCTTTTCAAGGTGGCTGTTTCTGATCCTAAACCCGAGGTAGGCATCCCTCTGCTCCTCATTTGTAGACATCCAGATTAAACTTCCCTCAAATCTCAATTCCAAGTATCCCATATCCCAACCACCACTTCCTATCTTTCCAGCTCATTCCCTCTGGTATCCATACCCTAACAGCTCTCTGACCTCAACACGACCTCCAAACTACTAAGCCCATGACCTTTTTCTAACCATCACTCAGTATGTGCCCCTTTCACTTAAATGACAGAGTATCTTCCTTGTATACATCCTCAATTCCCTTGGTCTTCTGTTCCAACTTAAATCCAACTTTCCACCAGGTAGTGAATGTGGCTAGAAGGAAGAGGCATGCTAACTGGGTTCACTTGAAGTTCATGGCTCACATCGCAAGAAGGGCCCTCGGTGCTGCTTGACTGGTCAGTCGGACCTCTCACTCTCCTAGGCGACTATTTCTTGGAATCTCCCCCTCTTTCCCCTTTCGCAGCTGATAACTCCAATTGCTTCTTTTTTTTTCTTCTTTCTTTCTTTTTTTTTTTTTTTTTTTGCGGTACGGGGGCCTCTCACTGCTGTGGCCTCTCCCGCTGCAGAGCACAGGCTCCGGACGCGCAGGCCCAGCGGCCATGGCCCACGGGCCCAGCCGCTCCGCAGCATGTGGGATCTTCCCGGACCGGGGCACGAACCCGCGTCCCCTGCATCGGCAGGTGGACTCTCAACCACTGCGCCACCAGGGAAGCCCCCAATTGCTTCTTTTATAGGGAAAATCAGAGTGATCAGAAGCTAACTTCCACATTCACTCAGTGCAAAGGTCCCCCCTGGGACGGTTTCTTCCAGACAGCCACATGGCTTTAGGGCTCTGCTCAACTCTCACCTTTTCAGAAGGGCCTTCCCTAGTTACTATCAAAACCAGCATTCCTTTTTTTTTTTTTTTTTAAGACAATCATGTTTAATTACCTCACAACTGAAGCTGCCTTTGGGACCAAGGGACAGGAAGGAGGCTGTGAACCCAACACTGGAGCTGCACTCTAATCCTAGGTTTATTCAACACAATTCTTTTCTCTACACAACAAGGTACAAACACAATATTATCTAAAATGCTACAAAGTTACAAAACTCAAAACAGAAAATGTATAGTACTGACTGTACAATAAAAGCCAAAAAAAAATGTACACGTTGCCAAGGTAACCTGCATGACCACCACGTATACCAACACAATGCGGCGGGGGGCGCGGGGGTTTTGTGATGACCCGACAGAGCTGACTCTCAACTTACCAGTTTCAGAGAGAAAGGGAGACATGTGCGTGTGTGTGTGTGTGTGTGTGTGTGTGTACGTGTATGACATGAGTACACATGACATGCAGAGGAGCAGGGCCAGGCTAGCAAGAACGGCAGTTGCGTAAAAGCACACCTTTCCTGTGGGACCCTGCAGGCCAACAGGTTAGGGCACGAGCAGGCCACCAGATGGGCCCCAGGTCATCTGTGGAATGGGAAAACATGCTCCTAGGCTGGGGCTGTACCACCTCCTGGAGCCCCCTGCTCATCCCTGCGGGCTCTGCCACTAAACTGCCTGTCAGGAACTAGAAATGCGGAAGCTTTCTAGCCAGGAAACTGGAGGGCGTCTTTATAAGCACGCTCCCAAACCAACAACGCTCCTGCAGCCGGAACTCTGCCGCCAGGGGAAACGTGGCAATTACTGCCTTCACCTTTGACGCCTGCCCGGGTAAGGGATTTCTTTCCTACCGATCCTCCTTCGTCTAGAAAAGTGACAAAAGTGAGTTGGCGGGAATACAAGTCACAGGGCAGAGCTTCGGTGGCCCTGCCCATCGGGAGGAGTTGAAGCTGGAGCAGCTCCTGGGGCTGCGGCGGCCGGGGGACCTGTGCCGAGGGGGACGCGACTTTCTCCTCCGTGCAGGGGACCTGCGCCATATGGGAGGCGGTGGCGGCACTCTCTTTCCTGGGAGGGCTGAATCGCCTGGGGGGTGGCCGAGGCCAGGGCGCCAGCACAGCGGTGGCAGTGATCTGCTGGCCATCGGTGTGTCCTCCGTCCTCGTGCTTCAGCGCCTTCTCAGCTTCATCTGGATTCTCACACTCCACATATGCGTAGCCTGTAGACAGATGGGGGTGCATCCTTTCTACAGGCACGTCAATCATTTAAATTTTCCCGTAGGTGGAGAATATCGCCATATGATCCTCGGTCACATTCCTGGTGAGCCTTCCAATTGCACTTTGGTGGGTTTAGGGGAAGGGCTCCGCTGTTTCCTTTCCTTTCCATCTCTTTTGGGTGGTTTGGATTTGGAGCGGGAACGCCGCCTGCTGTCATGCCTGCACCGAGAAGGGCTGGGAGAGCCAGGGGAGCTGCTGGAACTTCCGGAGCGCGGCTTGAGGCTGAAGAGGAGCTGCAGCCGCTGCTGGAGCCCGTGTTAAACCAGCATTCTGGATTCCTTATCTGGCTTTATTTTTCTCCGTTACATTCACCACACCCGACACATAAACGTACTGTCTTTCCCCCAGTCTTCCACAAGCTCACTCTGCAGTGTAAGCTCTGTGAAAGCAGGGATTTTATGTGTTTTGGGCCTAGGACAGTATCTCGCAAGGATTAGTACTTATAAATACCTATTAACTGAGGAACAAACTATCCAAAGACAAAACATTTCATCTTTCTTAAAGTAGAAACATGATACTTTGCATTGTGAAATTACAGTATTTGGTTGCCCTTGGAGTACTGCAGTCGCTCCTGGCGTCCCACAAGAGTCCCCTCCCGGATGCAGCATGGTGTGGGGACAGCTGGGAGAAGGTGGTGGGTGTGCAGAGCATCTGACGTCTACTATTGGCTCGGCCGCTAATTAGTAACGTCATCTGGGGTGAGTCATTTAACCTCTCATTTCTAGCAGGGAATGCGAGAGAGTACTTTTATTTTTATCCAAAGAAAAGAGGTCCACCAAACACAAACTGGTAGAAATCACTCACCATGCACATCGAGAGCGTTTTTCCTTCCAAATTTCATCAATGGGACTTTTACAGTGTTTATAATAAAATTTTATTTACAAGCTAATGGATCATGAACAGTTTTTATAGTAAATAAGCTGTTAGTAAATGAGTTGTTTTTTTTTCCATCAGAATAAAATCACTCTCAAAGTTCAAGATGGTAATCTTAAAGTCAATTCAACAGGATAGTCACAACGTTATAAAAATTTTCTTGCTACGCATGTGCAGGAAAAAATGCCTAATTTAACCAAGAAAAACAAATTAAGGTTTTGATTAGTCAATAATCATATGTGTTTTGAAAGTAGTGTTTTTTTAGAATACAAACAGAATAAGCACTTGATAATGTCCACAAATTAATGAAAACATATTCACATATATTACCTAGTGAAATGCGGTATCACTGCGTTTCCCCAAGCAGTAAATTCAATACATCCTATATGTAAAAATACCACCAACACTCCCCGACCACAAACACACACACACCAAGCCATATTGTCAAGCAAAATATTTTTAATTAGTAGGCTGATCATAAATAAATCCACATAAAAGATTTAACAGAATTACAAAGAGTTTTGTGTTTCTTTTGTGGACTCAATTCGTAATATGCATTAGTCAACCTCATTCTCTAACTGCCACCAAAAGAGTTGTCATCCAACAATGCAGCACAGTTTAAGCAATTCATATTCTGTAGTTACATTTTTACATTTTCTTTACAAATGTAACATTTATGTACATTATATATATATTTTTTCTATAGTTCATGTACTGAAACTCTATTGTTTTTACAGGGAAAATACTGAATTCATTTAATGAATATGAATCATTCCTTGTTAAAAAGTAATTCATATAAACAAATAACACGGTACCACTGCCTTTTGGCATCTCTTGTCAGAGTTCAAGTCCAGAAATGTTATATTAATTATAAGAAAAGGGAGTTTATCTAATATTACATTATGACATATCATCCCACATAACTACGTAAGTTTGCCGGCTTGCAATGAACAGAGCACTGTACTGCTGCACTACTGGATATGTGTGGAAACCAATTCCAAATATACTTCGCGAAACAGCATCATCCTTACCATTAATTTAGGATGAAGAAAATCTGTCAAGTTATTTCTTCCTCTTTACCTTTTGCCAAAGCCTCAGACCAGGTGCTATGCTACACATTGTCTCTTGTAACAACAAATGCCTACATTTCAAATTTCCTATGTGCTTCTCTGACAGATTACACTTTACCTAGGTTATAGACCTTTTTCTTCTTATTCAATTTTATTCCACTTCATTTACAAATCTGCTGCTGAACGTGAAGCAAAAATTCATAGTAAGAGAATGCGGCTTCTGTCCGGTCTTCAATCAGATGTTGAAAAAATTCTGTTTTGGCAGGACTCTCATCTCTGAAGAAGAAAAAGGGGTTTTTATCTATAATGCATACTATTAAAAAGAATACTTATACATCAAAAATAATCACTAATTCATAGGAACTTGAAAATGAATAGGGGATGTTAATCAAGTAATAGCATTCTACCACTAGAATATATTTTGATATTATTATTTAAAATTTGCTTTTGAAGACAATTTCACATAGATTGGACAGAATAAGACAATTTCATAATTAAGTTATAGAAGTACTTACTTTACCACGTGAAGAATTGGGTTTAATGGTCTGTTGTCTCTAAGCCAGGTTATAAAGGATCTAGCTCTTTCTGATGAAAGGGTGTCTAGCTCTGGAAGATGTGTCTGGTAAAAAATGTAATTTGGAGATTATTTCCTTTCTCATAGACTTAGGCAGTGTTAGGACTCAATCATGATTGCCACTATCACCAACCAACTGCCAGCACTCGATTCCCAGCCCAAACAGCAGCAACCAAACACATGAAATTTACACTGTTGATAAATCTATTTATGTTTTTCTAAGTCATAAGATATACTTAATGATAAGTATGTGACTGATATTTTACCTGAATATTATACTTTTTTCCAGACAAGTCAATAAAACATACACAATGACTAGTATTTCAAGTATATTGTTACACTTTGTATGTTTCTTCTAAAGGAAGTATTCAAGAGAAGGGGGCTACCACTAAGCTCCAATTTCACTTATAAACAACTATACATTATACCCTCTTCTAATAATAGGCATTCTTAGGGAATTTTATGTTTTCTTTAGTCCTTAAAATTTAAGGGCAAGGAATTTTAAAGAATAGTGTGAATGTGTAAATATATTTAAACACTATATGCAAGACTATTTTAGATACATAAAAAGTCTATTCTTTGCACATTATTCTCTCTTCAGGTTGTATTCTTTTTAACAGATGCATAGATATTACTTATTTAATATTACAAGTATATGTGTACATATAAATACTTCCATGAATATACCTATAGGATATATTCTTAGGAGTAAATAATTTACTGTTTTATACACTGTGTGATTTTAATTTGAACAGATATTGTCAAATGACCCTCCAAAAGACTGTGTAAATGTAGAGTCCAATCAATAGTATTTGACAGGCCTGTTGACCTATTCCCTCTGCATTACTGCCTGTTATCAAATTTAAAAAAATTTTACCAGCTGGCAAAAATCTGATAAATGAAAGAAATGCTACGCTGTTATTTTGTTTTCTTAATTACAAATGAAGTTAAACACTGTTTCATATGGCCACTACTATATCTTCTGCCCATGAATTACCTGTTCAAATCATTCCTCATTTTTCTTTTCTTATTTGAGGGAGTGCGGGTATCCTTTTCTTAAAGTTTGTAAAAGAACTTCTTATCCTAGAGAAATAAGCCCCTTTCCAGTCATATGAGTTACCGATAATCTGATTTGGTTGTCTTTTGGCTTTATTTATTTTACCAGATAGAAATGTTTTATTTTGATGCTCTCGGATTCTTTAACCTTTTCTACCACTGACTTACAAAGGCCCTACCCATTTTAATATAATAAATATTATTTTTCTAATATTCCATTTTTTCAGTGATTTGAAATGCAATCTTTACCGCATTCTATTTTTCACGAATTAGATCCATTTCTGTATTCTGTTCTGTTCCACTGATATGTTTATTGTGCCAGTATCACAGTGCATAGATACAGCTATAAAATAAAGTTTACTATTTTATTTAGCAGGACCTGTTTTTCACATGATTTCCCCATTGCTGATACTATTCTCTCTTTTCAAACTTTTCCTTATTATTCTCATTTGCTGAGTCTTAGAAATGAACTATGGGATTAATGTGTCAAATTAAAAAGAATAAATCAAACAGAAAATGTGGTAAGAATCACATTGACTTTATATTCATTTAGGAGAAAGGATATATTTACAATAAGGTAGGCCCTTTCCATTAAGTATAGAGAACTGCTTTCAGAATCGTATTTCTTTGGTACTAACACACAAACAGTAAACACCTACTGAAAAAATTATGTTTATTATCAGCAAAATAATTTCAATTAGAGAAGTTAAAGCTGTTGGAAAACAGTTGGGCAGTTGCTCAAAAAGTTAAACTTAGAGTTTACCATATGACCCAGCAATTCCACTCCTAGTTACATACCCAAGAAAGCTTGAAAACAGATGTTCACACAAACACTTCTACATGAACTGTTCATGGCAGCACTATTCACAACAGCCCCAGAGTAGAAATAACCCAAATGCCCATGAACAGATTACTGGATAAACAAAACGTGGTATATTCATACAATGGACTATTATTTAGTCATAAAAAAGAATGAACTACTGATACATACTACAACATGGATGAACCTTGAAAATACTGTGAGAAGTAAAAGAAGTCAAACACAAAAGGCTGCATACTGTGTGATTCCATACACTGTATATGAATTGTCCAGAACAGGCAAATCCGTAGAGATAGAAAGTAAACTAGTGGTTGCCAAGGGAAAACAGAAAGGAAGAACTGGGATTAGGAACCAAGATGGCGGAGTAGAAGGATGTGCTCTCACTCCTTCTTGCGAGAACACCAGAATGACAACTAGCTGCTGCAAAATCATTGACAGGAAGACACTGGAACTCACCAAAAAAGATACCCCACATCCAAAGACAAAGGAGACGCCACAATGAGATGGTAGGAGGGGCGCAAGCACAATAAAATCAAAGCCCATAATTGCTGGGTGGGTGACTCACAGACTGGAGAACACTCATACCACAAAAGTCCACCCTCTGGAGTGAAGGCTCTGAGCCCCACGTCAGGCTTCCCAACCTGGGGGTCCGGCAACGGGAGGAGAAATTCCTAGAGAATCAGACTTTGAAGTCTAGTGGGATTTGATTGCAGGACTTCAACAGGACTGCGGGAAACAGACACCACTCTTGGAGGGCACACACAAAATACTGTGCGCATCAGGACCCAGGGGAAGGAGCAGTGACCCCAGGGGAGACTGAACCAGACCTACCTGCTAGTGTTGGAGGGTCTCCTGCAGAGGCGGGGTGTGGCTGTGGCTAACCGTGGAGACAAGGACACTGGCAGCAGAAGTTCTGGGAAGTACTCCTTGGCGTGAGCCCTCCCAGAGGCTGCCATTAGCCCCACCAAAGAGCCCAGGTAGGCTCCAGTGTTGGGTTGCCCCAGGCCGAACAACCAACAGTGAGGGAACCCAGCCCCACCCATCATCAGGCAAGCAGATTAAAGTTTTACTGAGCTCTGCCCACCAGAGCAACAGTCAGCTCTACCCACCACCAGTCCCTCCCATCAGGAAACTTGCACAAGCCTCTTAGATAGCCTCATCCACCACAGGGCAAAGAGCAGAAGCAAGAAGAACGACAATTCTGCAGCCTGTGGAACAAAAACCACATTCACAGAAAGACAGACAAGATGAAAAGGCAGAGGGCTATGTACCACATGAAGGAACAAGAAAAAAATACAGAAAAACAACTAAATGAAGTGGAGATAGGCAAAATTCCAGAAAAAGAATTCAGAATAATGATAATGAAGATGATCCAGGACCTCAGAAAAAGAATGGAGGCAAAGGTCGAGAAGATGCAAGAAATGTTTAACAAGAAAAGAACGGAGGCAAAGATCGAGAAGATGCAAGACATGTTTAACAAAGACCTAGAAGAATTAAAGAACAAACGAACAGAGATGAACAATACAATAACTGAAAGGAAAACTACACTAGAAGGAATCAATAGCAGAAAAACTGAGGCAGAAGAACGGATAAGTGACCTGGAAGACAGAATGGTGGAATTCACTGCTGCGGAACAGAATAAAGAAAAATGAATGAAAAGAAATGAAAACAGCCTAAGAGACCTCTGGGACAAAATTAAGCCCAACAACATTCGCATTATAGGGGTCCCAGAAGGAGAAGAGACAGAGAAAGGAACCGAGAAAATATCTGAAGAGATTGTAGTCGAAAACTTCCCTAACATGGGAAAGGAAACAGCCACCCAAGTCCAGGAAGCACAGAGAGTCCCATACAGGATAAACCCAAGGAGAAGCACACCGAGACACATAGTAATCAACTTGGCAAAAATTAAAGACACAGAAAAATTACTGAAAGCAGCAAGGGAAAAACGACAAATAACATACAAGGGAAATCCCATAAGGTAAACAGCCGATTTCTCAGCACAAACTCTACAAGCAAGAATGGAGTGGCATGATATACTTAAAGTGATGCAAAGGAAGAAACTACAACCAAGATTACTCTACCCAGCAAGGATCTCATTCAGATTCGATGGAGAAATCAAAAGATTTACAGACAAGAAAAGCTAAGAAAATTCAGCACCACCAAACCAGCTCTACAACAAATGCTAAAGGAACTTCTCTAAGTGGGAGACACAGAGAAGAAAGGACCTACAAAAACAAACCCAAAACAAGTAAGAAAATGGTCATAGGAACACACACATCAATAATTACCTTAAACATGAATGGATTAAATGTTCCAACCAAAAGACACAGGGTTGCTGAATGGATACAAAAATAATCTATATGCTGTCTACAAGAGACCCACTTCAGATCTAGGGACACATACAGACTGAAAGTGAGGGGATGGAAAAAGATATTCCATGCAAATGGAAATCAAAAGAAAGCTGGAGTAGCAATACTCATATCAGATAAAATAGACTTTAAAATAAAGAATGTTACAAGACACAAGGAAGGACACTACATAATGATCAAGGGATCAATCCAAGAAGAAGATATAACAATTGTAAATATATATGCACCCAACACAGAAGCACCTCAATACATAAGGAAACTGCTAACAGTTATAAAAGAGGAAATTGACAGTAACACAATAATAGTGGGGGACTTTAACACTTCACTTACACCAATGGATAGATCATCCAAAATGAAAATAAATAAGGAAACAGAAGCTTTAAATGACACAATAGACCAGATAGATTTAATTGATATTTATAGGACATTCCATCCAAAAAGAGCAGATTACACTTTCTTCTCAAGTGTGCACAGAACATTCTCCAGGATAGATCACATCTTGGGTTACAAATCAAGCCACAGTAAATTTAAGAAAATTGAAATCATATCAGGCATCTTTTCTGACCACAACGCTATGAGACTAGAAATGAATTACAGGGAAAAAAAACGTAAAAAAACAAACACATGGAGGCTAAACAATACGTTACTAAATAACCAGGAGATCACTGAAGAAATCAAAGAGGAAATCAAAAAATACCTAGAGACAAATGACAATGAAAACATGATGATCCAAAACCTATGGGATGCAGCAAAAGCAGTTCTAAGAGGGAAGTTTACAGCTATTCAAGCCTACCTCAAGAAACAAGAAAAATCTCAAATAAACAATCTAACCTTGCACCTAAAGGAACTAGAGAAAGAAGAACAAACAAAACCCAAAGTTAGCAGAAGGAAAGAAATCATAAAGATCAGAGCAGAAATAAATGAAATAGAAACAAAGAAAACAATAGCAAAGATCAATAAAACTAAAAGCTGGTTCTTTGAGAAGATAAACAAAATTGATAAACCATTAGCCAGATTCATCAAGAAAAAGAGGGAGAGGACTCAAATCAATAAAATTAGAAATGAAAAAGGAGAAGTTACAACAGACACCGCAGAAATACAAAGCATCCTAAGAGACTACGAAAAGCAATTCCATGCCAATAAAATGGACAACCTGGAAGAAATGGACAAATTCTTAGAAAGGTATAACCTTCCAAGACTGAACCAGGAAGAAATAGAAAATATGAACACACCAATCACAAGTAATGAAACTGAAACTGTCATTAAGAATCTTCTAACAAACAGAAGTCCAGGACCAGATGGCTTCACAGGTAAATTCTATCAAACACTTAGAGAAGAGCTAACACCTATCCTTCTCAAACTCTTCCAAAAAATTCCAGAGGAAGGAACACTCCCAAACTCATTCTATGCGGCTACCATCACCCTGATACCAAAAGTAGACAAAGATACTACAAAAAAAGAAAATTACAGACCAGTATCACTGATGATTATAGATGCAAAAATCCTCAACAAAAACCTAGCAACAGAATCCAACAACACATTAAAAGGACCATACACCATGATCAAGTAGGATTTATTCCAGGGATGCAAGGATTCTTCTATATACATAAATCAATCAATGTGATACACCATATTAACAAATTGAAGAATAAAAACCATATGATCATCTCAATAGATGTAGAAAAAGCTTTCGACACAATTCAACACACATTTATGATAAAAACTCTTCAGAAAGTGGGCAGAGAGGGAACCTACCTCAACATAATAAAGGCCATATATGACAAACCCACAGCAAACATCATTCTCAATGGTGAAAAACTGAAAGCATTTCCTCTAAGATCAGGAAAAAGACAAGGATGTCCACTCTCACCACTAGTATTCAACACAGTTTTGGAAGTCCTAGCCACGGTGATCAGAGAAGAAAAAGAAATAAAAGGAATACAAATTGGAAAAGAAGAAGTAAAACTGTCACTGTTTGCAGATGACATGATACTATACATAGAGAATCCTAAAGATGCCACCAGAAAACTACGAGAGCTAATCAACGAAACTGGTAAAGTTTCAGGATACAAGATTAATGCACAGAAATCTCTTGCATTCCTATACACTAATGATGAAAAATCTGAAAGAGAAATTAAGAAACACTCTCATTTATCATTGCAACAAAAAGAATAAAATACCTAGGAATAAACCTACCTAGGGAGACAAAAGACCTCTATGCAGAAAACTATAAGACACTGATGAAAGAAATTAAAGATGATACCAACAGATGGAGAGATATACCATGTTCTTGGATTGGAAGAATCAACACTGTGAAAATGACTATATGACCCAAAGCAATCTACAGATTCAATAAAATCGCTATCAAATTACCAATGGCATTTTTTTACAGCACTAGAACAAAAAATCTTAAAATCTGTATGGAGACACAAAAGACCCCAAATAGCCAAAGCAGTCTTGAGGGAAAAAAACGGAGCTGGAGGAATCAGGCTCCCTGACTTCAGACTATACTACAAAGCTACAGTTATCAAGACAATATGGTACTGGCACAAAAAGAGAAACATAGATCAATGGAACAAGACAGAAAGCCCAGAGAGAAACCCATGCTCCTATGGACGACTAATCTATGACAAAGGAGGCAAGGATATACAATGGAGAAAAGACAGTCTCTTCAATTAGTGGTGCTGGGAAAACTGAACAGCTACATGTAAAAGAATGAAATTAGAACACTCCCTAACACCATACACAAAAATACCCTCAAAATGGATTAGGGACTTAAATGTAAGACCGGACACTATAAAACTCTTAGAGGAAAACATAGGAAGAACACTCTTTGACATAAATCACTGCAAGATTTTTTTTGATCCACCTCCTAGAGTAATGGAAATAAAAACAAAAATACACAAATGGCACCTAATGAAACTTAAAAGCTTTTGCACAGCAACGGAAACCATAAACAAGATGAAAAGACTACCCTTAGGAGAAAATATGTGCAAACGAATCAACAAAGGATTAATCCCCCAAATATATAAACAGCTCATGTAGCTCAATATTAAAAAAAACAAACAACCTAATCCAAAAATGGACAGAAGAACTAAATAGACATTTCTCCAAAGAAGACATACAGATAGCCAAGAAGCACATGAAAAGCTGCTCAAGATCACTAATTATTAGAGAAATGCAAATCAAAACTACAATGAGGTATCACCTCACATCAGTTAGAATGGGCATCTTCAGAAAATCTACAAACAACAAATGCTGGAGAGGTTGTGGGGAAAAGGGAACCCTCTTGCACTGCTGGTGGGAATGTAAATTGATACAGCCACTATGGAGAACAGTATGGAGGTTCCTTAGAAATCTAAAAAGAGAATTACCATATGACCCAGCAATCCCACTACTGGGCATATACCCAGAGAAAACCATAATTCAAAAAGACACATGAACCCCAATGTTCACTGCAGCACTATTTACAATAGCCAGGTCATGGAAGAAACCTAAATGCCCATCAACAGACGAATGGATAAAGAAGATGTGGTACATATATACCATGGAATATTACTCAGTCATAAGAAGGAACGAAATTGGGTCATTTGTAGAGACGTGGATGGATCTAGAGACTGTCAAACAGAGTGAAGTAAGTCAGAAAGAGAAAAACAAATATCGTATATTAACGCATGAATGTGGAATCTAGAAAAATGGTACAGATGAACCGGTTTACAGGGCAGAAGTTGAGATACAGATGTAGAGAACAATCGTATGGACACCAAGTAGGGAAGTGGTGGGGGGGTGGTGGTGGTGGTGGTGGGATGAATTGGGCGATTGGGATTCACATGTATACACTGATGTGTATAAAACTGATGACTAATAAGAACCTGCTGTATAAAAAAATAAAATTAAAAAATTTTAAAAAAAAGGAATAACTGAGGGATATAGGTTTCTTTCTGAGGTGAATGCTCTGAAATTAGATACTGGAAATGGTTGTAAACATTGTGAATATACTAAAAACTAATGCACTGTACACTTTAAAATGGTTAAAATGTGACTCATGGGAATTTTATCTCACAAAAAAAGTTTTAAACAAGTACACAAAATCCACTGACCATTTTCTGTGGTATTGATGCAAAATTCGGATACCCGAGCACATCCTCTATAAAGTTACTGTCACAGCTTTTTCCAATCCAAATGTAAAAAACCTAAAAATAACAATAACAAAATATTAAAACTCCCTAATCAGAAACCCAGTATAGCTACTTTTCTCAAAATTATCAAGCATAAAAGAGGCAAAGTATACTAACGCACATCAAGTAGGAACAAACATGAAAGTAAAAAAGGAAACCTGTAACTGGCACATTTGGAATCTGCATTCAGGAATCTAGAGTGGTTCATATCTTCTCTGCTTAAATGTCAAGGCTTCTCATAAAATATATTTTACTGCTTTCCTTACCTTTTCCCCAACAGGAATGTAATGCTTCAACCAGGATAACTGACTTTCTCTATTTCCTACCCACTAGTTCCATCATTTCAATTACTGTCTCTGGACTTTAACTAATGCCTCCCACCCCTACCCTATTCCTGCCCCACCCCATACTGTGGCTATCAGAATCCCTTTCCTGCTCACAAGGCATCATTTATGAAGCCATCTTGCCCATTCTGACACCCTTCACCACCACCCTGTCCAATGACCTCTCCTGAACTCCTAATCATTAATGGCATTTCAGACAATGGATCAAGTTAAACTAGATAAATTCTTGAGGTCCCTTTGAATTTTATGATTCTTGATGGTAAAATCGTTGAAGACAGGAATTTATCTCTTTACTTCTCTTAAATAAATTGACCACCTGTGCCAGTTACCAATTTACTGCCTCTGAGTTCCTAATCCACCTTTCATTGCCTGATCTGTGATAACAGAGCTGGACCCTGTAAGTGTTTCTCCTTTTGCCAGCTGGAAGTGTTAAGCTTTTGTCAGTAGGGGGTGCTTACAGAGCCACAGTCCATAAGGAAAGCACCGTCTCGTGTCAGTTTCTCTGCAGACAATTTTTGAAGAGGTGGCTGAGGTACCACCCTGTCATTAGCGTGTATTGCACCCTGAAAAGAAAAAGATGGAATGTGAATGTACTTACATTTCTATTATTACCGGCTGGAAGCTAATGGCCTCTAGCTCTTTATGAAATACTGAAAAATGATACTTGAGAATTTTGTAGAATGCAAAAAATTACAGTTGACCTTTGAACAACATGGGTTTGAACTACATGGGCCCACCTATATGCAGTTCTTTTCATTAAATAAATACTACAGTACTACATGATCTGCAGTTGGTTGAATACGGAACAGAGGACACAGAGGACTGACTATAAAGTTACACACGGATTTTCAATTGCACAGGGGTTGGTGCCCCTAACCCCCTCGTTGTTCAAGGGTCAACTATATTGATAATACATTACCACCTTGGCTGTAGAATCAAGACGCTCAGATGTATTTAAATTATAAGATTCTTGAATGTATTCAAATTTAAAAGATAAAAACATGAATATGTAAAATGACCTGTCCATTTCCTTCCCTTCTGGGATCAGGATATGTTAAAAGTATGACTACTAAATCTGCTGCAAAGGACTTTTTTACATTCCTCTTGTAACAAAATACAGAGATGATTCCAAATAGCAGAGTTTTAACACAAGGAAGAAAAAAGACATTACATATTTGCATATTAAAAATACTGTTGGGGCTTCCCTGGAGGCGCAGTGGTTGAGAGTCCGCCTGCCGATGCAGGGGACACGGG